CTGCTCCGCGGGAAGCCTGCTTCTCCCTCTCCCCTCTGCTTGTGTTCCCTCTCTCGCTGTGTCTCTCTCTGTCAAATAAATAAATAAAATAAAATAAAATCTTTAAAAAATATTTCTCACTGGACTTACAGCTGGTATTATAAGTGGGTGGGAAAAACAACTCTTCGTTGTTGGCACTAAATGCCATAGTGCCTCAGTCATTTATATATATGTGTGCCTGGGTGGCTCAGTCAGTTAAGTGTCTGCCTTCGGCTCAGGTCATGATCCTGGGACCCTGGGATTGAACCCTGCGTTGAGCTCCCCGCTTGGCAGGGAGTCCCCTTCTCCCTCTCCTCTGCCTGCTGCTCCCCCTGCTTGTGCGTTCTCTCTCTCTGTCAAATAAATAAAAAAAATCTTTAAAAATTAAAAATTAAAAACAAATCATGCTTCCCACACATATTTCTAAATGCTATATAGAAATACAATCCTGACTAGGAATGATGGATAAATAATATGTTTAGGATCACAGACAGCAGGTAAGTAGCAGACTCAGGACTTGAACACAGCTGTCTAACTCAGAAAATGGATATACAGGGCGCCTGTGTGGCTCAGTAGTTAAGCATCTGCCTTCAGCTCAGGTCATGGTCCCAGGATCCTGGGATCAAGCCCCACATCGGGCACCCTGCTGGGCGGGAAGCCTGCTTCTCCCTCTCCCACTCCCCATGCTTGTGTTCCCTCTCTCGCTGTGTGTCTCTCTCTGTCAAATAAATAAGATCTTGAAAAAAAGAAAGTGGAAATACTTTCTATTGTACCATCCAGAGAAGTAGATGGAACTGGGATTGGAATGTACAACCTTTTTAAAGCTTAAGCCAGTCCCAAGAGATTCTGATTCTTTTTCATTCCTCCTTTTTTAATCTCATATAGTTTATCAACTTATAATTCTGTAGATTCAACTTTGTGATGTCTTATAAAATGTATTACCTCCTTTCTATTCCCAAAGCCACCATTTCAGCTCCAGGGTCTCATTCCCTCTCTGCATCTGGTTTATCCACCTCTCGTGCTTTCCTACTGCAATCCAGCTGACTCATATTTACCAGATTATTCTTCCAGAAACATAAATTTGACTTTTTTTCTTTAGCTCAGAAATTTTCAATGGCTTTCCAGTTCTTGTCCAATTAAACAGAAAGTCTAGCATCCAAAAGTTTTCCAATTTGTCACCAATGTACCACAGCAAACTTAACTTCCACTTTTCCCTAATTGTACTCTAAAATCCAGTTCAGCCTGTGTTCTTTTCACATGTCTTGATCTTTCCTGCCTCCAAACAGTTGTTCCTGTTGTTTTTCCTGCTTCCATTGCCTTCTCTCCTATCTCCACCTGTTGAAATCCTATCTGTGCTTCATGGTCCATCTTAAATAATAATAATAGTTAACATTTATTGAGCGCTTATTTTAGTGCAGTCACTGTGCTAAGTGTGTACAAATATTTTACACGGATTATCTAATTTAATCCTCACAAAAACGATGAAGTAAGCACTATTATTGCCTCCATTTTAGCCTGCAGTAAACCAGAGTTCTGAAAGGGGGAAGTAGTTCTACTTGCCCAATGTCACACAAGTTAATAAATGGTGGGGATGGGATTTGAACTCAAGTAGTCTGTCTCTGGAGCCTTAAAAGTTGTGACAATGTCAAAAATGTCTTTCTGATTATCCCTGGTTCAACTTGAAGTGGTCCTTATTTGACAACCTCAAAGGATTTTGACTAAATCTTTAAAGCCTATCTTTGCTATATATATTTGTTCTTATACCCATGATGAAACTGTCAGGTCCCAGTGCATTTTAAGTATCTATCTCACATAGTGGTGACAAAGCATAGTTGCTCAGTGAGCCTGTTACATTGGACTGAAGGTATATTGGGGTAAAGGAGGGGATAGGAGAGTTATACAGGGGAAGACGCTCTACACTCTCTTGCCTTAGTTACCCTACATGACAGGGCACTGGCCAACACTGCTAACATCAGTCCAAACTTTGCAGTCTCTGCTTTCCCAGGTTGCTGGCAGGTCTCTTTTTGTCCCCCAGGTCTCACAGCTGCCTTAACCTTGGCCAGTGTTTGGGGTAAAGCAGGATCAAAATATCACTGCTCTGGGCTCAGCTTCCAGGAGTGAGGGATCAAGTAAAAACCTAGTGGGTGAAGGGGCAGACTGAAAGCCCCCAAATAGAGCCCGAGTGTTCTTTACACAAGCCCTGACTTGCCCAGGGGCCACGTGGGTGGGCTGGCAGCTCAATTTCCCTGGGGATGCTTCACATGTCTGATCCAACCCCTCCCTCCCCTAAGCTCCCAGCCTCCTTCTTTTCCTTAACTCTAAACCCCATGTGCTCAGGGTGTTTGGACATGTCCAGGCATGTTCCCAAAGGCCATACAGGTCCAGTAAAAGCCTACACAGGGGCACACTGGCCCTCCAAAGCCATTGGGCTATTAACTCAGGTCCCTGGCACCTTAGACAGCATTCTCGGGACACCAATGGATGGACAGACAGACCACCGGAATGCCTTCACAGACATTCTGATTTTGTAGCTCCTCAGTAGGGTCATCCTAACCTGATCCTGAACTTCCACCCCTATGTCCCACAGATCTGAGCAGCCTTGTCATGCCGGGGAGTGTTCCCGCACTTACCCTGTAAATATATGGATGGATGGATCTTGTTTCAGCAACAGAATTCCTAGACAAACACACCTCAGCGCAGGCCAGACATACCACCAAGCAAGCCCCCACCCCTCAGCCCCCAGCCTACATACCACACTCACAGTAGATGAAATCCGTTGCAATCACTCAGGCTAATTTCACATCCCTGTGTACCAGCAACAGCCTAAACCCATTCTCCTTTTCTTTTATGCTACGTCTATTTCTCCGCCCCCGCTGAGGCTCCCAAAGCAGCTACTAGGCTACTCAAGTGTCTAGGCGTGGCTATGCAAAGAAGTCCCACCCCTGAGACAGACACAGTGCTGTTGGGAGGCGGGAAAGGGGAGGTAAACAGAGACCAAGCCACTCCTATGGAAGGAATCAAAAAGCTCTAGGGACTGTGGGCAGACAGGGAGTTAGGTTTTGCCTGGTCTGTGGGAACAGAGAGAGGGTCAAGTGGTTAGAGGCACCGTGCAGACTTCTTTTCTTGTAACTGTTGCATGGTAGGATGCCGCTAGCTTTTCAAAGTTCTATACATGAATGTTAGCAGGCCTGGAATTTTTCAGAAAATTAGTGTTGGAAAAGTAACAATTTTCAGACACATGGAAAAGCCACTTCCCAGCTTTGGCCCTCTTTTTTTTTTTTTTCTCTCCTTTGTTCAGAAAGTTAGGATTTGGACAGGAGGAGAGAAGACATAAAACAGGGGAAAGACCACTCAAAATTAAGGAGAATTCGATTGTGGAATCACCTTCTTTGGGCCCCAGAGTCTCTATACAAAGAAGGGGTTGTACTAGATAGACTAAGAGTTTTTTTCCAGCAATGACACTCTGGGAGTTTAGAAGTTTATAATCACAGAGTCAGCAGTGGAGAAGTATTGGAATGTTACTAGTACCTGACCCTGAAGAACTTGCAGAGGAATAGGGAAGATAAGACAGACTGGACATAGTCAGAGAACAGCACACAATACTGAATGAGGGGCTGAACTATGAGGTACAGGCTAGAAGGGTAGTAAGGGAACAGAGAAAAGGTAAAAATAAGAGAGAAAATATGGCCAGCGAAGGGAAATGCTCTTTAATAGAGTGAAGGGGCCTAAAAAATTGTGGCGTACCAAGTTGCATTATGGGTAGAGGGAAAGGAAGCTTAAGCCAAGGCATGGGGCAGGGTCCAAGCAATGTGCCATGATCAGACTCTGAGGGGCCTTACCTGGTGTGAGCAGAAAGGCTGTATGCTGGGAGCTTAGGGTAAGGTCTCCGTACATAGGCTGCAATGCCTTTGGTGAAAAAAAAAAAAGGGCTGAATAGGCTCTGAAGTGACTTTGAATAGGTCCTGAGTGAACTCCAAACATGGCCCCTGGTTAGAGCTGGGACCAGAATGTGGCCTTTTGACTGGTACTGTGGGCTCAGACCTAGAAGGAGGGTAAACTGAGTTAGAATCCTAGGTTTGCCCCTCCTAGCTGTGTGGCTTTGGGGAAATTACTTAACTGCTCTGTGGTTCGGTATCCTCATCTGTAAAATGGGAACAATAGTAATCACTTTTTCATAGGGTTGTTTTGAAGATTGAATGAATTAATACATGTAATAGCCCCTGGCACATGGCAAATGTTATATAAGTATATGCTATCATTATTTCCTTGGGTCTACAGTCATTACACAATAGAAAAAAATACAAGTTTAGGAAGGCATCTGGAAGGAATACAGACTCTAGAATCCACACATCTCTATTCCAACTCTGGTTCTAATATCTACGAGCTGTTGGCTCTTTAGCAGAGGACTTATCCTCTCTGAGCTTTAGTTGTCCCATCTGCAGATAGAGGCTCATAATACTTTCTTTATGAAGTTGTGAATTTAAAGTGAGCTAATGTTCATAAAGCAAAGAGAATACAGTAGGTGTTCAAAGGATATTCTAGGTCCTAGAGTTTAAAAAGAATGGGTGTGACTGCAGGATAGGAAATGAATTGGTGGAGTAAGGGCTGGTGGTAGATACCGATTAGGAGATTACTGAGGGGCTGATCTATGATGATGAAAAAAGGGGATGGAAGCAGGAGAAATTGTGAAGCTAAAGTTAAAATCTGTGAGGTCAAGGGAGGATCTGAGTCTTCACAGCAGAGTGTCACTTCTTGATATAAGCCTCACTTGGCCAGTCTAGCCCCTGTCCCCCACACCCTGTTTATTTCCTTACTGACACTAAATTAAACCTGTAATCATTTAATTAATTTGCTTACTTGTTTAATGACTGTCCTTTCCCTCCACTAATTGGTAAGCATCATGAGCTAACAGTAATTCTTAGAGAGCATTTGTTATTTGCCAGGCACTCTTCTCAGTATTTTGCATATATTAACTTGTTTAATACTTGTAACTACTCTAGTACTATTCACAGTGAGGAGATGAGAAAACTGAAGCATAGACTGACTTGCCCAATGTCAAGCAGCTAGGAAATGGCAGGGCTGTGAAGGAGCCTGATACACAGCAGAAGGAACAAAACAAATTAATGAAAGGACCAGGATGCAAAAGACAAAATGGAAGAGGCCAGGAAAACTTTGAATATATTGAACTGCAGTTGCCAAGGAGCCCCACATGTTGAAATGTTTCACAGATGAAGAAATGTTAGTTGGGAGCAAGAAGGACCCTTTGGCCTGGGGACACTCCCCCACCTGGTACAACCAGGCTTTTATTTTTTAAACACAAGTCCCTTCCAGCTAAGATAGGAACATCATTCAAGGCCAGGATTAGGGGCCTTTCTACAACCTCAGTCTCAAGGGCTCACCCAACTTTTGTGCTCTCAGCTACACTGCTCTATCTCTTTTGATCCTACTTAGCAAACTGAGTATACGGACAGGGAGCCATGTTAGGCCATTGGTAACGCTTACCTGAGTGAACTGAGCTGAAAGGACACTTGCTGGTACATTAGCTAGGGGACAGCATAATCAAAATTCTTCTTTGAAGAAAAGATAGGATGGAACATTTACCTAGCATTTATCAATCATGCAAATGTGCTCCATTGTAGCTTACAACAGTCCTACAAGATAAGGATTACTATCCCCATTTTACAGATTAAGAGGCTTGTACTCCAGAATGCTTCTTTTCCTGGAGGGTAGGAGGAAGCCTGAGATAAAGGTACCAGGGAAACTTCAGAGCCCACAAGCTGTTGTTTCATTATTTGGAAAGTGACCTTAGGCAGCATGTATGAAACTACTGTCTTCCACCATAACTTGTCTAATAATATTGTAATAGTGACTAACCTTCACCAAGCACTTGCTAGGTAGTGTTCTGAATGTTTTATATGGATTAATTTATCTCATCTTCACAAAAACCCTATGAAGCCAAAAGCACTGGAATCATCCTTGTCTCTTCTTTTTCTCACATCTCACATTCAATCCCTCAGCACAACTGATCAGCTTTGTCTTCAAAATATACTATGAATCTCCCAACTTCTCAGCACATTCACTGCAACTACTCTGTTGCAAGCCACCATCACTTTTCAGCTAGATTACTGCCATAGCCTACAATTGGTCTTGCTCTTGACCTTACTCCACTCCAGTCAGTTCTCAGCACAGCAGTCAGAGTGATCCTTTGAAAATGCAAATCAGCTCAAGTCTGTCCAAACCATTCCAATGGCTGGCTTCTAATTCAGAGTAAAAGCCAAAGTCCTTAACAATAGCCTACACTCCACCCAACTCCATCCCACCTCCACCACCCTACCTTTATATCTCTAATCTCATCTACCACTGCCCCTTGGCCACCATATCCAACCACATTGGCCTCTTTGCTGTTTGTTCCAACACTCAAAGCATTCTCTATACTCAATCTTTGTACTTGTTCCTTCAGCCTGGACAACTCTTCCCCAGATATCTGCATGGATCCTTCCCTCACTTCCTCCTAGTTTCTGCTCAAATTTTACTTTATAAGAGAGAACTTTCCTAAAACCCTAATATAGAGTAATGGAATTGCCAGGGTCTTTTGGACTTTTCCTCAGCACCAGCCCCCAAGGACCTGAGGTGGGATGTGGGGATGAGTAGATTTAAGGCTCTCAGCTGTGCTGTCTATGGGGGAGCCACTCTGGCCCCCATACCTGAGTGGTAGAAGTGAGGTTCAGTCAGCTCATCTCTTGGGGGATTTCTCATTCCCTACTCTTAAGATGTGCAGGAGTCACCCAAACCAAGTACTCCCAGGTAAAGGGTCTCTCTGATTACACTTCACTGCTGGAATCAGCCTGAACTTATCTCTGGGGCCAGAGATGTTATTCTGGGGCCCAGTGAGAGATTCAGGGCTCCCTGATGCCATCCTCAGCTCTCTCAGAGGTTACCTAAGGTCACTTAGGGGAATGCTGACACACCTTGGCTGTGTCTGAGAAAAGCCAGGTCAGCCTCTAATTCTAGATTTCAATGCACGCAGAGTGACCTCTCATGTGAGATATAGACACACTGGGGACTTTAAAGCCCCTCTGGAGACTAGTAACAGAGAGCAGAAGCAGAGACTGGAGGCTCTAGGAGATACTGAAGCATATGGAATCCAGCATCTATAGGGATGTATGTACCTGGATACCAAGATCAGCTCCTGGTGCCCTTTCGTCAGCTTTTGTGATATGTATAGATAATCATGGCCATAGATGTCTGAGGCAATGGCATATACAGTCTTGGATCTTCTGAATTAGAAATGTAGGACATATAAAAGAGCTCCTCCTAGCCTGGGGATTTTTCAAAGTTCAGTTGGGTCGTAGTTTAGTTCAACAGTCTTTTCTTTCATCCTTAATCATCTTTCTTTTCACCTGCCCAAGATGGCTATTTCAAACTTACTCCTCTTACTCAAGCACCTAACACTAATATATCCTATTCAGAACTCCTAGTAGATAAGACTTCTCCAGTTTCACTGAAACCATAGAATAGCACCAGGCTAAAATCCTCTAAACAACTTCTGATCCCTCCACCTTCAAGCTTATTCTTGTCTTTTATATGAGAGTTCCTTTCTGTTCCAGATTAATCTCTCTATCTGTGCTTACTTCCCCCATCTACCCTGCTTTGCTTTATCTGGCATCTTCACAGTCCCTCTTTCTCTGGATCATTCCTCTAAACTCGTCCATTTTAAGCCAAGATTCTGGAAAGGGTTTTCCATAGTTATTGCTTCCATATCCTTACCCCCATCTCTTAATTTTTAAATTCACTCTACATTCTGATCTCCTCAGGATCATCCATGAA